TGACAAGAGAACTAAAGCCTAAATATGCAGGATTTGAGTTAAATATGTGTGAATGGCAGAAAACACAACTCCAGGTATGTTTTCAATGAGGAAAAAACTTGATAACAAATTTTAAAAATTTTGTAATATAGACCATTTAAGATTTATGCCAGTCACTCTTCTTGTGCTTAAGATGTACAAGAAATCAAATTGTTTTAGGTGTTTTTTTTTCTTTTCTTTTTCATAATCGTGAGTCCCTACTTGATTGCCGCATTACATGTTCATATTCATAATACAGAAAGTTTAAAGCCATAAGCATTCAAGCAGATAATATGATAGTTTTCAAAAATATAATTCATTGTTGTTACGCTGAAATAAAGCTAAAATCACAATTCCCTTTTCATCCATCCATACCATTTAAAGCTGTATTGAAATGACTTACTGCATTTGTGTTAAGTTGATATAAAACAGGTCGTGAATAATACAACATTGAGTGTGGTTCCATGAGGCTGTGTGTTACTGTCCCCAACAGAGCGTGAAATTGTTTATTCTTCTGCTGCCATTTCTGTGTAAAATAGAAGAAGGATCACTTCCCCTCAGCGCGCAGTCATCACGGCCGTCACAGCACGAACATCCCTTGAATCAGCCAAGAAATTAGCTCCCCATTGATTACCGGAAACACTCCACCAGGCCACTGTGTTTTTCTACTTGTATTTGTATATGTAATTGAAATAGCCTTAAGAAATATATGGAAATTAGCACAAGGTTATTAAAAGTATTGATTTGATTTTCCCATGTGTCATATTGATTGAGAGCTGTTCTTCATAGGCAAAATGCAGACATTACCTTTTTGTGTTTGTGTGTTTGTGTTTTGTCCATTTCCACTGGCAGTGAACAATATAATTTGACACTGTTGTTTTATGAAATCATCTTGGAGCATCAGTTTTGATCAGTCCAAGTCAGCAGCTTCACAGCCAAGTGCACTCATCATTTTCATCTTTCTCGAAGCCATGGCTGTGAAATTCTCAATAGACATTCTCATTTGAGCCCAATTTATCCATACAATATTATTATGCCTTTTTGTCTATGCCATTAACAATTTATGACCTATTTTTAAAAATGGCTTTGTTGTTTGCAGTCTGACTTCCTCCATCCATTCTTGCTCTATAACCAATTCTCCCCTCCATATTAATCAGAGCATGGCTTCCAGTGAGTGCATGATTCAACCATGTAGGACCCCATCTCTGTGCCTCCTCCCTCCATCCCTCTTTCTCTCCCTCAACGCTGAAAGGTCTGTCTGCCCCTCAGTGGGGAAACTGTGCAAGGACATTTTGGTCTGGTTTTTGAAGAGGGAACGCGTTGGTCGCGACATGTATTTGGGTTGGCTGTGGCTATCTAGGTTAAAATCCACAGTACATTTTGCTCATCCTGAGGGAAGGAATTAGAATAATGGAGGAGCTGCAAAAGAAGAGAAGTGCAGAGAAAGGGGAAAATATATGAATGATCTATTTTCATTTTCGCTTCACTGAATTGTGCCCTTAGCTGTATATCTGTATATTCATAGACCTTGATGATTAGAATTTAGGCTCCATAAGTGCACGGAAGGTGAAGGTTAATATACTTTATGTTTATAAACTATAAAATGGCTCTTTATCATGTACACATAGTTGTATTTTTAGAGCCCATGCAGCATAGCTGTTTTTATTGCAGCTGGAATGGTGATTTTTAAAAACAAAGTGACACATTCTATGCCGGTTATGAATGTAGATCTCTATAGAGGCCTAAAATTTGTTTCATAATCATTCTTAGATTTTCTTATAATTAAATATGGAATACCAAACGCAAAAAAGCAATACAAAATCAGAATAATCAGAATAATGTTATTGTTAAGGGAAAACCTTTACATCTCCACCTTTTTAACCCTATACTTCTGCGTATAAGCCTTGGGGCCAGTCTAGGAGTTATTTTTCTATGTGGGCGGATCTATATTCCATCACTTTTACTGCTTTGCAATTGACCTTCCACCTGTAACTTTAACCCCCCATTCCATCTTTCCTCAGGGCAGATGGATTTCTTCTTTGCAACAGCAACAAATCACATTGAATAGTTAGACAACACATTTTCTTTCAAACTGTCAGTATTTTTGTTATTGAACAATTGAATCGTTGAGTAAGGCTGAAGATTAAGAACCAACAAAATCCAAATGTTTTGCCACACAAGTGAACATACAAAACATTAGGATAAGGTTACTGACCATGGGTGAGCAGCAGAGGGCAGCAGAGAACAGACAATGACAAAGGCAGCCACTGTTTGTTATTTAATAAATAATTGAAAATGTAGTTGTTAGGTTATGAACCTGTTAAAATGAATCAAGAATGCAGCCTTAAATGATTGAATTAGACTTTAGTTTGATGCATGATAAATGCTAATGGAATTCCTGGTTGCATAGGTCAGTTTGTGGCCTCACTTTGACCTGTCCGTCACACTCTGTCCAGATGTTGTCTTTGTCTGTGCACAGAGATGCTCCATTGTGACAGTGCGAGGTCACAAAGACCAGGCAGATTGATGCTGTCGGTTTATGGCTTGTGTTGAACCTGTGGGACATTGATCCGGGAATCAACAGCATGCAGACTGTTTTTCACTCCAAAGACAGGGCTAGACTTGTTTGATATTGAAGAACTATATTAATAAATCATGTGTTATTCTATAAAGAGATGGCAATTACGAAAGTACCATTTGATATAATGCAGTTTTTTTGTTATATTAATGACTATATAATCAAATTATGAAATTATTATTGAACTATTGTTGTAGTCATTTCTATATTGTTTGTTTGTAATACCAGAATATCCTCTAATAATTTAAGACTGGCTGACTGAGTGTATGTTTGTGGCATAATGCCTAGATATCTGTGGAAAAGGTCCAGTAATTATCGACTGGAGTTCGCCGGCCCTGGGCCAACTGCACCAACTGGGCTTCATTGTAGTCATGGATCTTCTTTGCTTGAAAAATGCTGCTGTTTGAAACTGAGCACACCTTGGCACTGACTTTTACTATGAGATCAGCTGTGAGGAACTGGGCTTCTGCTGGCCCACTGAAGCATGAATGGACTGAAATTGTGAATGGACCTAAAAGTCTATGTACAATTTTCCTTGGCCACTAACTGCTTGATCTGCTTTGCTTGATCTGTGCACATGTTTTTGTGCCAATGATTTACTTATCAGTAGTGTTTATCCTGCACATGCACCAGCCCCCTGCCCCAATCCATCCACATACCTTTCTACGCTCCTTATCCATCCATCCTGTTTCCCCCAAAGTGTCCCGATTGGCCCTCGCCTAGCAACCACATCATAATTTGGCATAATGTGACACCCCCTGATGCATGGTGAGGGGTTTCACCCCCCTTTATAGCTGCTGGCTGCTGTTTGAGCTTACATGAATGAAAAAAAAAAAAAAAAAGGACATGAAGGATGAATAGATTTGCAGAAGATAAAGGGAAGAATTTCACGCTCATATCGTTACATGACTGGTGTCCACCATCTAAAGCTGCCGTGTCCCTTGAGGGGTTTTTGCCGCGGCTTGGCAACTATGACCAATGCTCCTCTTGCATTTTACCATGTGTGCTCCATATGCATGACTAGCAGCAGTATCAGTGTGGACTTATCAAGGGAACAGGCATGTGAGGAGGCAGCCGGTGCTTTCAGGACCCAGTTATGAGCTCAGTGGTGCCTCTGACACGCACACAGGCGGAAAGAAACACAAAGATGGCTGCTGCCTGCTCAGCTGTCAGCGTGCAGTAGCGTCTGACGTGAGTGCTGCTGGTGTGAAGGGCATCCCAAATAAGTGGTTTTTCCCTCAAAATCAAACATATTCTTTTGGTGCCATTTCTTGAATCCTCCACACTGAATTCTCTGAGTTCCTCTGATAAAAAAATCTGGTTATTTAATAAAATATTAGCTAGTCTGTTTTTGTTTGACCTCTTCATTTCCAGTGAATCAAGACAGGGGCATCTAGTACAGAATGTGAAATTCATATTCAACTATTCAACACATAATGTCATTTATGTATAAAAATACTCTTAGTTTTTATTGTGTTGATTTGTTCCCAAGTGTACAACAAGACACTATCATTACTATAAATTTAAAATTCCTTTTTTTTTTTATGACGAGCAGTGTATTGTAATATTATTCATTGTATGTGGTTCCTTTACTAAAAGCTGGACAATAGTGAGCTATTGAACCAGTGTTTTACAGATCATTAATTCTCTTGTCCCTCCTCCTTATCCATGTCCTTTACATGTCAGTTGAGTTTTTTTCCCTGACTGTCATTTTCTGACCTGCTAATATTTAAAATGAGCTACTTGAACATTTTTGGTTTAAAGCCCCAAACAGGGTACAGCGTGGCGGCTGTAACGCAGAAAAAGGTAGAGACAACGTTTAGGAGGATGGACTGAAACAGTGCGTGGTCACCATGGTAACAGATCCCCTCCCCAGCCTCCGAGTCCCTCCCTCTCCCACACTCTCCTCCTCCTCCACCTCTGTGCACGGTGGTGTCGCTGGTGTTGGTGATGCTGGTGTCTTTGCCCAGCTCACCTCTCATGGACACGCGGCTTCACTGATGCTGGTGTCTTTGGCTGGCTCACCTCTCCTGGACACGCGGCTCCACACTGCCAGCGGATGACACATGAGGACAAGCGGAAAGAGGAGACCAGCCGCTCTGTGTCCATACGCATGTCTTTAACTCTCACAGCCAGGAGAGCACAGGGAAAGCAGCCCTGAGCAACAACCTCTGAAAGGACAGACGTACTAAAGGATATAAAACTACTCAAAAACCTACTCTTCTCCATTCTCCTTGTCAAGGAGGGCATTTTTCTTCCCTTTCCCCCCCTTTCCTTTTCTGCCCCGATTTTTTCCTCTGAGATCCCGGTTTTGTCAATTTCGGCCCCTGAACTTCTCTGGGATTTCAGGTGAGGCGCGCGTGTGTAGTGAGTGGTGTTCCTCCGTGGTTTTTGACAACCTACCATGGCTCACGCGGCCTCCCAATTGAAGAAGAATCGGGGGGAAGTGGATGTGAATGCAGTAGAAGAGGAGAAGGAGAAGCGGAGACAGAGCAGGAGAGCAGCGTCCCGGGAACAAAAGAGAAAGGTAACAGGCGCGGGCTGGAGGGAGGGAAAGCTGGCTGCTGGTTGGTCCGCTGCCTGGTGGCTTCATCACCTCCGCTTGCATCACCGGAGTGTGACTATTAACACTCATTTCACTGTTAACACTATAGGCTTGTTTACATTAAATCACATCCATGAAAGAGTTTTGCTTCTATGAAATGCCAGATTCGAGCAGTAACCACTTTCTTCATGAGCCCCAACTTACTTGTTGTGCACTTAACTTGTTCTCAGTGGTGGTTTGAAGAAGTTGCAAGTTGGTGACAAACTTTACTTGAAAAATTTTGAGTATAATTCATACATTTCTTTTATGTTCATTTTGGTGAATCTTGAGTATGTTCCAACTCAGGCTTTATAATTTTTTGTAAGTTCAAATGTTGAGCCACTGGTTTCATAAGTTACAAACTTGAGGTGGTCCTTGTTGGTCTTTTAAAATGAACACATTTAAACAGATGTCACATAAAGCTGAAAGTACCCCGCTCCTGACCACTTGTGTTTTGTAAATGTGGGTTTTTGTGCACACTATTTGTGTGTGCGTGGATGCACAGACAGCCATGTATAATGCATACACAACTGATTTATTGATGACTGAGCTTTTCATATGATGGAGGTGGAAGTGAAATGCACGTGGACCTCCCTCCTCTTTCTCCTCTCTCTGACATGTCAGCTCTCCCTTTTGGACAGAGCTGAAGAGTTTAAGTCAGGCTGAATCACCAAAAAATTTAGCTAAACAAGACAGATTCTGAAATTTTACAAGGATTTCCTTTTATGTGCAGTTTTGCATTTAAAACAATATTCTGTCTTTTGGCATTAGCTGCAATCTAGGCTTTATGTGTGCTGATTTGTCCAAGAGGAGCTCTATTGGATAACAATGACATTTACTGTACTTGGTGCCCATGGGTGCCTGGTTTTGAATTATGCTGCTGACGATGTTATTTGACCTCAGCATAAACAAGAAGCTGGTCATCATGGGGAAATCATTGCTGTAACACCTATAAAAAGAATCAGTTATTATGGGACAGGATATTTTGAGTTTGATTCAGTATATATATGGTTGCACATTGTAGTTAAAGTTGTTATAGTTTAGGAGGTGAGGGCTGTATTGATTGGTTGCACAGTGCCATGCATAAGGATAATACGCTTCTCCTTCCTCAGCTGCCCTCTGTCCTTCCAACAGTCCTCAGTGTTGTTACCCTTTCATTTTGTCTTTTGTCTTTTGGCTGCACTTCTATCTGTCACTGTTCTGCTTATTGGGTGCTTATTTTCATAATTCACAGTTACAAAACAAAAAGTCAACGTGAAATTCTGGCTGATAATTTTCTAGATATCTTTTCTTTTATTCTGCCCTTTAGTCAGTTAGTCGATTAATCAGCTGGTAATGTAAAATTTATTTTATTTGTTGGAAAATTTTATTATTATTTATACACCAAACAGCTGGAGTTCTGGAAGTGACTGGACAGTTTAATCTACTTTTTTTAACAATATAACATGCAATCCTCATATTGTAGTTTTTAATCATTTTCCACTGACATAGGCACCCCATTTTTAGTCTATGTCTTTAATCAAGAATTTTATACAGCTCTAGATTTTTTGTGGTCATCAGATTTGTGTTGTGTTTGGAAATCTTTTCCAAATTACATCACAAATTTTTGGTGTTGTTTCTTTTTTAAACTTTTACTTTTATTGTACTTGGCAGAACTTTATGTAGAAAAGAAAGGAAACCCCCTTCTCACCACTCAGACTCTCCAAGCTCCTTTACTTCTAATGACATTATCTCAAGCCAGGAGCCCCCAGTGGATTCCCTGAGAGAGACAGAGAGAGAGAGAGAGAGACTAAGCAAAGCATAGGTTTCCTGCTGCTGTGCCCCACTTTCGCACACCAACACAGAGCTTTTTGTAATATTTATCTGGTGAGGGCCAGTGTAGGCCTTGCATTACTTTTAGGATGCTTGTTTAAGTTTATTCATGGGCACTTGTTCACTGAATCAGTGAGTGGAGTTTTAGTTGATCATATCACATTATATATCATGTCTGCTTATTAGGGCAGTGTGTCTTACAGGTGTCTGTAAGTCACATTATGTGATGAGTACATGCTGAAGGAGAACAGAACTGTTGAAATTGAATTGTCAGCCTAGTGCTGCCTAAAGTATACGCCCATGGCAACACTGTGGCAAGACAAGAGCCCCTTAGCCCTAAAGGGACACCCAAACCAGGGGAATATTTCCAGTGAATAAAGAGAAACAACAACAAATGCCATTAAGGTGTTGGTATGTTTCTCTTTGCACTCTATTTTCAGACAAAGCTGGCACGTGTGCTCCATCCCTCTCTGCCTGTGCCCCTCCCCACCGGCCCATAAAAGATGGAGGTTAATGAATTCGGCACTCATGCATGCCTCGGCTAATTACATTGGCATTGGGAACCCCTCCCACTATTACAAAATGTTTTCACCAGCAAGATGGCCACCGGCTGGACGCCTGACGATGGCGACTTTATGAAGGCTGCAAGCTTCTGTTCTTAGGAATTATGACTATTAGATGGCATTTTTATTTACATGTTTGGAGTAAAAGATGTACATAGAGGGTTCAGTAAACAAAAATGTTTCTTATGAATTGGAGTGCTAGTGTGGGAGTGAAAATGTGTGTGAAATCTCCAAGGAGCCGTTTTGACTCTTGTAAGTCTGAACAGCCCCATTCGTCAATAGTCATCAAATGAAATTGAATATCTAACTGTCAACAACCTACTGTCAGTGCACATGTGTTAGTTTACACGTATTATAGAAGCAGCATTAAAAACAGACATTTACATATGCATTGGTTTGATTGCTTATATGCATTATGATAGTATTTTTCAATGCAATTTAGAATACAAATAAGACTAAATATATTTAGTACCAAGTCAAGATTGTGTGTTTTTTAAAATTTTTTATCAACAGTAGGCAGCAGCTTTTTGACAGTCTGTTTATGAGACTCAATCATTCATTGTCATCCTCACACCGCAAGTTAATCAGTCATCTATAATCCTGAGGTCTGCGAGCTCACAGCCAGCTATTGCAACCTCACTTCACTATCTGCTCCCATTGTTCTACATTAGCTCCACTCTCTTAAGGGAAATGAGCGGGCGTAATAAGGATTGTTCTAATTATTGATCCACCACTGTGAGGGTCCTTGTGGAGAGTCGAAGGGGGGGGATGGGTAGTTTCTCAGGGAGTATTTCGTAAGTGAAAACCAGTCTATGTTGGAATTTGTTGGTCCTGGTGCTGGGAAAATCCATGATTTTTGATTGTGGTTGAAGTAGCATTTCTTCAGATAGCATAGCCAAGGCTAACATGCATCAGGTGAATGACAGACAGTGTGCATCCAGAGAGTGTTTGCAGTCACATGGGCCGTGGGTGATGCTGGTGGGCACATGAGCTGGAGGTGCTGAGAAGCTGAGAGAAAAACAGAGGGAGAGATAAGCAATGGATGGAGAGAGTGGAAAGAGAGGAAAGAAGAGAGAGAGAAGCAGATAAGGAGGAATGGAGGGAATTAAAAGAGCCAGTCCGACACATGATGGTAAGCCTAAAGGTCGTTCCAAGGTGACTGCTGCATTTCTTTCTTCTCCTCCTGCACACTCGCCCATTTTGTCCTCCTTTTTCTCTCTCTCTAATATAATTTCTCTTATACTACAGAAAAATCCAATTTCACGTGCCCATTTGTGTGCCAACTAAATAGACATTGTGGCTTGTTTTGTAGAGAGTTCATTCTGAGGTCTTATACTGAAAACCAGCCAAGGTAACTGGGAGAAAAATCTGCATTTATGTCAACATGCCCACATCTAATAACATAAGCATCATGAGGGGGAAGAACAAGAAATGACAATTAAAAAGCTGGCAACAGTTAACTATTTTTCCAATTGGTTCCAGCTCAAGACAAATGCAGTACAGCAAGATAGTAAAAATGATTTGTTGGTGAGAGAGTGAGTATTAAAGCCCCGTTAGTGGCTTTTTACTCGACATTATCGCGGTAAAAATAGACATTTTAACTGGGTTACATAGATTGTGTAGGTTTTAGATAGAGACTTGTGTAAGTGTAAGTTGCTGTGTGTGAGAACATGTGATACTATTGGTGTAAAAACAGCAATGCAGTCATCTTGGAACTGTGGATGCCATCAGTTGTCACATTATGAGGACACATCATGTCATCGGAAGCCCTTTTTCAATTACTGTAAACTGGTTTTACTTGTAGCATCTGGGAATCTGGGAAGTGATCACGTTGAGAACTAAAAGAGAAAATATAAACATAAAGATAACGGTGATACAAGTGTAGACTAGGCCTGTCACAATAAATACTATATCTTATTGCTCAATACATATCAAATGGAACAATAACAATAATTTCTGGGGTCAGTATAATTTTTTTTGTGTACTATAAAGAGATCTGAGCTGTAGATGGTTGAATCATGAACTTCTATGACTCACTACAGAAACAAACTAATTCTGTAAGTGTTACATTCTGCTATTTATTATTTATTGCAGTTAGTGTTTTTTAAACATAATTGTACATTAAGAATACTTTTCAGGGGGTTATTCTGCTTTATAGTTTGGTTTCAATATTGTTTAGTGCTGACACTTTGACATCCAGAAGAGTGGACCCATCACGTTTTGTATAGTACCTACAGAGCTCAAAAATATAACTTTGATTCAAAATATTTCCCTTCCTACTAATATCATGAGAATGTGTCTTTTAAAAAAAACATTTACTCAGTATCTGTATGTATTTGAATTATTCAGAGCAAAACAATCATCATCTTCCTTATTTTGTCAGTGTGTCACATGGGGCAAAGTTTGACCTGAGAAACCACAGCCTAAAAAGTGAGAGATGCATTTCCTTATATGTGTTTTTGGTGAAATGAAGCATGATCCAGCTCATGTTTAAGTGGCTTGTGCTGTTTGAGGATATGCCCGAATACTTTTGATCAGTGTGAGAGTGCACTACAGCATGAGCTTATT